GATATCTCATTAATTTGACAATTAACTAAGATCATTATCTAATCGGTATTATTATAGACAAAAAAAAACTATTTATTATTGAAGTTTCGATTTTTCATATATGAATTTTTCTATTAGTAAGAATAACTGTCATATATTTCTTTAAATGTCTTTTATTTCTAATTATCATTGTTCCAGTAATGAAACGTCCTAAAATATTATTAATTGGTATAATACAATCACACTTCAATTCAAAAAATTCTTTCCTTTATAATTCAATATTACAAACATCTTTATTTATTTGACAATAAAATCACATTTTACTATTTTCTGCTGGTTTGTACTATCTTATAAATACCAATAAATGTATTTTTTCTCTATCTGAAAGTCATATTATATGCTCAAAAAAAATTGTATTTGATCTGAATAGGTATCAGTTGTATTATCATCTAAAATAAATTTGGATATTACATTTACTGATCTGGTGTACCTTTTTGAATACGCTAAACTGAAAATTGTAGCTTCAAGTCTAAGTCTACCAAATTGTTTAACTTTCAGTAAAACTATTATTGAATCCAATATTGAAACACCATAAGCAGTTTTATAATATTAGATTAATAAACTTAATATTTCTTGTGGCAAATTAATGTCTTTCTTCATTGGTTTAAGGAATGTTCCCAAAAAAGGCTCTGATCCTATTCCTACCATTTCCCTTATATCTTTTGATATCATTAAAAATTCTGAATAATCCTTTAGGTCAAAATCTTCATGTGTCGCAAGACTACCAACCGTTTTCCTAGTAGCGATATAAGATAAACATGTTGAAAAATGCTGATTTTCATGTGATATTTCATCCAAATGAGAATAATTTTGAACGATTCTAAGTAATTCCAGTTCAATATTTCGATTAATATTATAAAAAGAACCTATAAAAAAATCAGTTAAATATCAAAAAAAATTCAATAAAAATATCAGAGTAAATTTTAAATTATTATTACCTAATAAACCATTCATCCGTTCAAATGAATAACACCAAAATAAATAAAGAGGGCCATAGTCAAATATGCATTCACAAATATGCAAATATAGGTGCATATTTGGAGAGAGTTTTTCTAGCCCATAAATTTTTTTAACGAGTTTTACTATTGATAAAAGATATCCATGTATCTTATTTAATGCTGACTTGGAAATAATTCGATATACA